GGGGTGCGGGGCTGGTGCGGAGGGCGCGGCTGGGACGCGTTAGCAGGTGGGAGCGGGGGCAGGTCTGAGGTGAGTGAGCCCCGGGACCCGTCTCTTCCCACTCCCCTCTTCTCCTCAGCTGTGCCCTGGCGGGGGAGGGAGGGAAGAGCGAGCGGAGCTCGGCTGCTGTGCAGTAGCCGCGCTGAGGAGCTGGGCTCACATGTTACAAACAGAGCTTTGCTGGGGGCCTGCAGGAGCCTCCCCAACATCCTCTTGCTTTCCCCCTGCTCTTCGTGTCGCTTCGTTATCGCAGGCTGAAAGACTTGGCAGCCGCAGTGTCGCTTGAGGTGCCCGGGGGGGGGCGGAACGCGTCCTGCCGCCCTGGGGTCACTGCCCCCCCGCTCCCCCTCCCCCGGCAGGTCTTGGAGCATCATCCGAGCTCATGTTTATCCCTGTTTTCTAGGATCCAGGGGAAGGTTGTTCCTTTTCTCAAGGTCACACAGGAGGCTAGTGCCAAACACGTCTATCCAATCCGAATTAATTTTTGTCATTCCCTATAAAGCAAGTGCGGATTGTTTGATGCGGTAGATGTTGGAGTTGTGCCAGCACTATAATTACCCCGTGACAAGGTGGCAGGATTAGGGATATGGGAGGGTTCTCTGATGCCAGAAAGGCCAGGCAGCCATTGAAAAGAGAAGTGGAAGAAGTGGAGCTGGGCCAGGCAGCTGAGCCGGCAATATATGAGGGAAATAAGCAGCAACTGAGGTAAGGCAGTGCAGTGTACAAGGGAATGATGGATGGCTGCTGTGATACTACTTACAGTACAATAAAAGCTTTGTCTTGATTGTTTTTTCCTTTTTTTTTGACTGCACTATCATTTTGAAGGGGGTGTGATTCAGCACAGCCTAGTTTTCTTCTGTTCCAGTGATTCAGTGTATTTATAATTTTTAGATATTGTTATTGATATTCTAACAGTTTTAATATTGTATTGTCTGTACATTATCTTTCCAAAGTTCTTCTGTGACCAGCAGAACAAACTGATACCCTAGCTATCAATGTCCTTTAAACTGTAAGCCACTGCCATATGATGTTACCCTGAACCCTTCTCTGTCCCAGGGAGAAATCCCATTTTGTCAGTCCCATGGGGAAGCAATGGTACGTGCCAGCTGTCTTTCTGATACCTTTTGGTGCTGCCAAGTGGCTCATGTAACAACATGTTCTACCTACTTTTCAGCAAGGGCATTAATTTGAGCCTTCCTTTTCTGTTGGAGTCCCAGCTTTCAGAGAAGCTGGATGGGTTTAGTTGTCTCTCAGACGTTTTTTACTCCTATTTCAAATTGCCTGGTGAGCTGAAAAGTTAAAAAAGTTACAGGGTGGACTCATAGACTAAGTTAAAAATACAGAAAGTGGTTGCATTCTGAAATATGGGTACAATTGTTGTATGGGCATTTTATTAGGTCCACCTTAGAACTGTGGAAAACAGCAGGTGAATTAAGAGAGTTCAGTATAAAGTGCTCAGCTGCTGTACTGTGTTCAGCAGCAGTGAGGAGGACATGTGAGCTCATTTCTGTGAACCCCTGTCTGCCAGACAACCGCCAGAGGCAGTGAGCTTTGGCAGCCATGTTAGGTAAGGGCAGCAAGATGCCACAGTGGTGGCCATCCTTTTTCCTGGCAGGAAGTCATAGCGGTTTGCTGATAGCCATCATAGCTGAGGGCAGAAACAGCCCGCTCTGCAGCCATCTTGGGTAAGGGAAATGGAAGGGAGGTGACTGTCACATCTGTCCTCTAATGAACTGATTTCTGAGTCCGGATTATGAAATACAGCAGAGATTCTGTGGTCTTAATGACTTGATGAAAAATAAGAACTTCTGCTGAAGGAAGTTTGTTGGGAATTCTAAGGTAACTGTAACTGACCAGAGAAGAAGCATCTTTCTAGGGAACTCGGTGCCAAATTTCTGAGTATTGTGGAATGGTGATCCAAAAGGTTACCAAAATATTAATAATATACCTCAGATTGTCAGTGGGGAGTTGTTGGGAACCAGTTGCTCAGTGGGAGATGGAGACTCCAAAGAGATTGCTGCGTTTGGAATTAATGAGGCATACAACATAGCAAAAGCTGAAGTTTCTAGAATGCAAATTAAGATGCAAACTGATAATAAAGCCAGAATAAAAAGGTAAGAAGAAAGTAGGAGATGCAGTTTTCTACTGAGTTCTCATCTGAAACTCACTAATCAGCAATTTACTAAGTCAGTTGCTCATTGAATTTTGATAATACAACAACTTCTATGTATAATTGCACTTCTTTAAGCATACTGAATTTTGAAATATGACAGTCTGTAAAGGCATTTACTGCTACATAAGCAATATGGAATCATATAGCAAAGTTTGAACTGTTACTTATACACTAGTGTTGTATCTTTTGCAAAACAAACTTGCCTCAGAACTACCTTCTGATACATTCAGAATCACACTGAACTGTCAAAAACTAAGGAATTATTTCAGAGCACTAGGTTCATTTTTCTGGAGCTATAGTTGTGTTAATTTTAATGTTAACACTACAGAAATGTAGTGCACAGCAGTTTCTTCATGTCCACTGTAGGACTGGAGGGAGGATGAGCTGCATGGTATGTCAGACTAACTAGCTTAGACCAGTATTTGCTGATCTATAGTTGCTTTGGAGATGCTGTGACTAAAAATGTAACCTTTTTTCTTAAGTAGGAGAAGTGGTCTCACAGAGTAAGCTAAGCAAGGAATGGCAAGATTATTGTGATGATCCTACAACTTGTTGAAATATTCTGGCTGCAGTTCTTGATAAAATTCATGATATTCTGTGTCTGCGTGATAGCGCCTGTTGCTGGAGAGTCACAGGCGTAAATAGTGTGGTTGCAATGCATGTCAAGACAACAACAATCCAGTTGGAATTTTTTGATACCTGTTTGTTTCAGGAGCTGCTGAATACATACCCATTCTACAAATGTGTTCTCTAGTAGTGTGTTTCTCTCCATGCTGGTGTATCATGAGAAAATAAATGGAGCAAGATCATGTCCTCAGAATGGTGATCATTACCAGAAAACAACAAATATTTTCTAAGAGGTTATTTGCTGTTTTCATGATGGCATTGAGAAAGAACCAGATTATCCTAGATTAAGAAAGATCATAACACAAAGTCTGTAATACATCAAAAAGCTGATTTACGTTTCAGTTTTAATTACAAACTTTGCTGCTTGTGGCAGTGATCACACAAAGTCCTTTTTATAAGCTCATTAAGTTACTCAGCACTTACTAGGACTTTATACTCTCCACTATTCTTGTTGAAAAATTTCATTCAAAACCTTATTTCTCCAATTATTAGAAAATTTATGCAAATTATTAGCCTGGATTTATTGAAAGTTTGTTATTGTAGCACTACTGTTGTTTCAGACTTCTTTTCCATTCTTGATCTTTTGACACTCCAGTTATATCAAGAACAATTGCATTATCTTTCAACATTAATTTTGAAAGAATAAACAACTCAGCTGGTTTAATCCTCTTTTGTCAGCTAGATTCTCCATTTACCATATTTTTA